CTTTCATTTTTTGTGATTTGTATTTTAATTGTATTGAATTTATGTTGTTTTTAATTAAATGAATGAATAAACGTAATTTACATTACTTTACTTTACTTTACTTTACTTTACTTTACTTTACTTTACTTTAAAAAAGAAGCCTTGAAGCTGTGACATGAAGTTACAAACTAATAAATTAGGTCCCTCTCTTTATTGAACTATTACAGTATATCTAGACTAACTTTGCTCATCTTTTCAGTTAAGTTTTCATTAAATAAGAGCACAATCTATTTTTACACTGTAATTTCACCCCCAATTTATTAACTGCTCTTTTTCTCTTTTTCATAATAGCATCAAAGACAAAAATGACTTGACATATATTGATTTTTATTTCATATGTGTGCTAGTGGTGCAAAGACCATGACTGTACCTGCAAAATGTCATTAACAAATTATCACACACATGCCATAAGCAAACAAAAAGAGCTAGTTTGTCACATATTTCTGAATGACACAAGCATGTATCCAGTGTGAAATATTAGCATCTAGAGAAGTTTTTATCATGTAAACCACTGGTGAAACACTCAAAGTAGTTTTATGTTTTAATRTCCTAATAGAGAATAAACAGCTGTGAGTGAAATATGGAGATAGGAACTAGATTTCAAATAGAAAAATACCATCCAAAAGTACTTCCCATCACTGTGCCAAGACTTTGACATATTGGAATCAGTATATTTAACATTTGAGTATGTTTATTCAGGGACATTTCTCATGCTCTGAGTGCCAGCTGTCTGTTCTGCCTGAAACAAACAAACAAACAAACAAACAAACAAACAAACAAACAAACAAACAAACAAACAAACAAACAAACAAACAAACAAACAAACAAACAAAAACATACATTAGCTGACACCCTCTGTAACATGGTGCATTTCACAGTAAAAATTTTCTATTTTTCTGCACATTTTTCAGGATATGAAAGAATACTTTTGTTTTAATTTTTTTATTGTAAAATCAAAATTCATGCAAAAGCTAATGAACTATGAAAACTCTCAGCTATTTTTGCGAGAGTTACTGGTTCAACTGTTTGAAATGAAAACAGAAGGTTAATATTGAGATTTTGGTACAAAAAAATCTTTTATGTACACAAACCTGTGATCAAACAGACTCTCTGTTACTTTGAATAATTAAATCAATTAAATGAATAATGTAATTTAATGAGGTTGGTCATTTTGTTCATTTCTATGTGGCCCTGTGGTGGACTTGCGACCTGTACCCCACCCCTCGCATAGTGACAGCTGCATATAGGTACCAGTGACCCCCCTGACTCTGAAAGGAAGAAGAGTACAGATAATGGATGGTTGGATTTTGCTCATCTATTATTCATTTATAGCACATATAAATATTCATGATAAAAATCACAGTTTGTTTTTTAAGATACATATTTATGTCTTTTCCATGCATGTTGTTAAAGCATACTAACACCAAGTTTATTCAAAATTAGAAGCATATTTCATCAAACTCAGAGCAAACAATCGTCAAGTATACTAATGATTAGATGTTTCATCAGTTTACTAACAGAGGAAAAGTCTCACAAATTTAAAAGCATGCATTACAGATCATTTTTACATGCAAATGTAAAATAAAATCTATTTAAAGCTTGCTGTTTCATGCAACAATCTAAAGAGCAGTCATGCTGTTGCACTGAGTTTTACAAGTCAAACACAGTTTAACTATTAACTGTATAAATTTAAACTGCCAATAAATATTGGATTAAAACAGAATCTAAAAATAACTACATCTCCATCCATAGGGAGGATCCTCTGACAGCAGGTCAGTAAAATGTGATGTCTGCTCGAGACATTTCATTTACAGTGTTAAGACTTTCAATTAGGCCAGACACTATTACTAATGTATGTGGCTCCAGTGCTTTCAGCTCCTGACCTGTTAATCCTTGATGCGGCTGTTTCCCTTCCACAAAACCCCAGGGTGGGATTCTGAGGACTGAGACAAGTTTGCCTCAGTGGATAAATTACAAGATGTTCTTTGCTTTTCAGCCAGGGCAATTATATGGATGTTAATGCTGTGTTGAACATGGCACAGTGTTATTAAAACGTATAAGGTGAGATTCTTGATATATAAAAGACAATGAACAATTTTATATAATGATTTCTAAATTCTAGAGATTTTTCAACCAATTTTCACTTTTTCTTATTTTAAATTTCCTCATCATTTCCAGCTTTTATATAAAAAACAATGCTCATTATTTTCATAAACATGGTAAAAAGTGTTGCTGAGTTTTCAGCATGTTTCAGTCAGGATTTGTGTTTTTTTTTAATTGGAGCTTAATTAGCTTATTGTGTTTTAAACCAAAAGTTTTTTTGAATAAACTTAACTGTGTCTAATTTTATCTGACTTTATCCTTATTGGTTTTATAATATGTGCTGGAGCTAATAATAAAACATCCTGCTTGTACGAGGAATATGGGTGTACACAGAGTCATTGGGGCTAAAGTACATTTTTGAGTTGTATTTTTAGTTTCATGAAGCACAAGCTGCCTCAAAACAGCTGACTGMACAATAAAACCTACAGTTAGAGATCATTTGCTGGAATAATACTGTAAGAGAAAAAAGGTTAAGGGTAAATCAACCAATTCCCAGATGCTGACAAGTTGTTGAGTACAGCTACACTGCACAAATACTTATATAGGAGATTTTATGTACCAGTTTTTCCTGCGTTTTGTCATCATTACAGCTCCTGCAAGTAGCTGACACTGCTCTGTCGTCAGCACAAACCCTGGATCCTATTATACTGAACACATTAATATATAAACTCCCTGAATCTGGAAACTGGCCAATATGAGGTATGTGATACAGAGAAAAAAGCACACTGATTTTCAATATGCTGCAGTCCTAGAAGGTTTTGAGGTTATTTTGAATAGTAATAGAAATTTAGACAGAATCATTATATTCACAAGCTTTAAATTAATATGCAGGATTATATTAATGATTCACTAAAATCAGGTATTATCCAACCTTCCTTGTCCCCTGCTGGTACTGGTTTTTTCATTGTCGGTAAGAAGGGTGGGACCTTGCGTCCATGTATTGACTATCGTGGCTTAAATGAAATCACAATCAAAAACAAATACCCTCTTCCTCTAATGAGCTCAGCGTTGGAAGACGGCTTTCAATACACCGAGTGGTCACTATGAATACCTAGTTATGCCGTTTGGGCTGACCAATGCACCTGCAGTATTCCAAAATCTGGTCAACGATGTCCTTAGGGACCACATAAATATTAATACCTTTGTGTATCTGGACGACATTTTATTTTTTTTCTAAAGACCAAGAAACACACCAGAAACATGTTCGTGATATCCTCCTTCGCCTCTTACACCAACTTTATGTCAAAGCCAAGAAATCTGAATTTCATACCACTTCTACAACCTTTCTAGGTTTTAACATTTCCTYAGAACAAATCTCAATGGATCCAGCCAAGGTATCAGCAGTCAAGGAGTGGCCCATTCCCTAGTGCCGTAAACAACTTCAGCGTTTCCTGGGCTTCGCCAATTTTTATAGAAAATTCATTAAGAACTTCAGTTCCATTGCTGCATCTCTCAATTCGTTAACCTCCATTAAAACCAGATTTTCTTGGACTCAATCAGCAGAAGAAGCCTTCACTAAACTTTAACACGTTTTGTTCCGCACCAGTACTTCGATTCCCAGATCCAGATCATCAGTTTATAGTGGAGGTAGATGCTTCTAATACAGGGGTTGGAGCAATCTTAAGTCAAAGATTTCATGATAATAAGATTCATCCATGTG